TGAAAATTAATTTTGCGTTTGTGGTATTTGTGTAACATTTGAAAAATGGTGGTATTTGTGGAATATTTGAAAAATGGTGGTACTTTTGAAACAAAACTTCAAAGTGTGTGGTATCGTAGGGAATTCCTCATATTGGCATGTAAAGATATTTGGTGAGATTTATGGAATATCTAAATATGTAAAATTCTATGTATCAAGACATTAAAGAGTGGGTACATATACAAAATAATTTTTGTAAAAAGTTAGTGAAAGTTTGAATCTAAAGGAGGAGGTCCTTCGAAGCGGATATAGTCGTACATGACACCATTAAAAGCTCCAGTGGTGGTCATTGCTTGTGTCAAGAACAAAGTATTGTCTCCTTCGACAAGCTTCTCACTTGGGACATCCACATTATAAAGTCTATAGATTCCATGTATTCCATGTCTTGCAATCGTGTTGTCGTGCCCTACTACACCTGTTGTGAAAAGTGGGTTTTGTTCATACTCATTCACCCTCACCTGTAGTTCTGCAACATTAGCAGTTGCTAGTGCGATCCGGATTTTGTATATACTACTTTTTTGCACTTTCTCGAGCTTAAATTTGATTTGCCATGTCGTTTCTTGGTATGTGTCATCTGCTATTTTCCTATAACCAAGTAAAAGATTTCCTTGTTTCATACACTTTCTCTAAACTCTTAGAATGTAAAATGGATTTATACTTCATTACCTTGTAACGTGTGCAAAGAACCAATCTTTTTTGTAATCACTGACGCCAATGGTGAACACTAAATCTTCCGTAGGATATAGTTCTGTGTATCTTTCCCATAGCCCGTATTGCCTAAACCTGCATAAACCATAACCCTATATATACATAGGCATCTACTCTTTGTTTGTCTTTTGTTTTGTACGTTAAATGAGTGTTTCTTTTGTTTTCAAATTAACCCACAAACTATACTAGTTTATAACAAAACATTTTTAACAAAATTATTCGATGAGTTTTGAATCGCGTTTACACTTTGCAAATTGTGAAGTTTATTCAAGAAAAATGGTTGACATGTAAAAGCAAACGGCAGCCTTAATGGATTACCTATCAGGATGACCAATATACAGTTTGTTGATGTATTTGGGATTTGGATCTGGAACGAAGAACTCAGCTGCAGAGCGGTCAGGTATCCCTATCTCCCACACCGTTGGCCCATCTCGGGGCGGCTCATACACAACATTGCCAACATCAATGTCGCAGCCTGTTGTGGCTAATGTTATATCGACACTCGCTTCTTGCACACACATGTAATTTATAATCTTCATTACAATGTAAATTTAACCTGCGGTAATGTTAATCGGTTGTTCGTATTGATAGTCCCCAATCCATCCTGCCACATAAGCATTGAGATCATATTGACCTCCTCGAATATTATTTATCACGAAATAACCATCTGCATCTGCTTCTGTCCAGAACTGATAGCCCTGTACATATGAGACAAATGATGCAAGCATGATGAGCTTATATTATTATTATGTTAAATTTTCAGGCTCACCTTAGATTCTGTTTGCCAAGATCCAACCTCTCCTGGCGGAGCCAAACCTACGAAAGCACCATTTGCAGGTAAAAGTTCATTGCTAAAACACATAAGAAAGAGAAACAGAGATGAGTTAGAAATTGATAATAAAATGAAGAAAAACAGAGCAAATGATGCGGTGACTTTGGAATATGAGGCTTACTTGTCACGTACTTGTAATCTACCGCTGATGCAACCACGCTTAGCGGACACTGCAAAGTCTTCTGAAGCCGGGAAATCGTAAGGCCAGCTTTGGACTTCGATTAACATCTAAGCACACACCACTTGCTAAGGTAAGATTTCATATGTTTTATATATGCAAAAAAATGGTACAAGGCCGGTCCAAGGATAAACCTGGTTTTTTGCGTCTTGCCAGAGCGAAAGAGGATCAGAGATTTCGTCAGGCAAAGAATTGAGGTAAGTAAAAACAGGACCAAACACTTTCTTCCATGACTCCCCTGCTTTTACCTTCATCACCATGTCCTCACCGGCATAGTGAGCACTCAAAAACATCTGTGTTTGCAAAGGGTAAGTAAGAAGCCATCAACATAACGTGATTTAGGAGGAAGAAAGAGAAAAACACACACCGCAAGGCTTATTGGACCAACATGAGAGGTAAGGTTCTGCTTGGACAAGCCACCTGATCTGAACTCATTGCTAGGAATGATTTGCCAGCAACCCAAACCCGGTTTATACGAGATCCATCCATGCACTTTCAGATCTTTGTTCTCGCATGAATACTCGTACTTGTCATCAACCTCCCCTTTAAACTCTTCTTCAACAGGATGAACAAGAAGAACGGCTTCGGGGTAAGCCAAGGCTCTTCCTCGTTTACCCAATCTATCTTCTGGCAGCGGCATTTTCCTCTGCCTGTTATCAGCAATTGCCATATATCGAAACCTGCACTTTCTGAAACGTTTAAGTTCAGTAGCATCAGTTCAAGGGAAATTTTGATTGTTGAACATTATTTACTTGTCTTTACGAAGCTTGAACACAATTCTTGTCTGCGGCAAGTTAAAAGCGGGCCATTCTGCTAGATGTTCGAATATTGCGTATGAGTAAAATCCAGAGACATCTTTACGCATTATGAACCTGCATTATACAAATCCGAATCAAATTCACTGTCAGACATCTATATATGTCTATGTACATGAGATACCTCTTGTCGATATCAATGGGAACGGTTTTGGGTTGGAGAGAAGAATCCCATTTCCTAGTGAAAGAAAGCTCTACCAGTTCATCATTTTGCACCAATACTTCAAAACTTGTGCCTTTGATCCTGTGAGAGCCAAATCTATAAATAAAATACTATAGAGAGACTATGTTATACGCTTGACTGATGCACACTTACCGCTCAGATATCCCGGTGGTTCCAGGCGTCCCTTCTTCGCTCCAAACAAGGTCCCAGTACCTGCATTAATTTGGTCACAACATGCATGTATATAGAGCCTACTGATATATATATGAAGTACCAATTTTACGTACCCTCGATTGTATTCTTCATTGTGGATTTCTAGTAGATTGTCGAGGCCCTGGTAAGAGATTCCGGTGACAAAGCCATCTGGTTTTGATATAGTTACTTGGACTATACCATTGTCCATCACCACCTGCATTTGTCATTTACGAAGCTATGAAGGAGAGACAGAGAAAAATTAGTTGAACGAATTGAGATGAATGATTACATGGTTTTCTTGAATACGCAGCTGAACAGAACCTTGATCAGCCATCGCTTTCTTTCTTATGTTTCTAAGAAAAATGGAGAGAAGAACGAGTATATGTAATATAATCGTGGTGTGTGTGGATAAGTTTGAGTCATCTTCAACTTGGAAAGGGGCTTTTGATTCTTGTTCAAGATTTGACAAGTGCTATCTTTAAGCTTGGAGATTCTTTTTTTTTTTTGGTAACGACTGTCTATCTAACTTATTATCCCATTCCATTCCATGTGTTGGTGGGTTCTTACGCAACCACCCAAAATGCATGTTTCCATGAAAAGGTATCTTTAAAGTTGCGTTTATGTGAGTATGATTTCTTTGAGGTAATGTCTAGTGGAAACCATTCATGACTATATAAAAACAATACACGCATCTCTTAAACATGTTTAATGCAATGCTAATATAATCTATCCATGTTATGTTCATTTAAGTCCCTATAGGCGCTGGCCAAGTAAATAGATACACAATCTTCAACTCTTGATCTAAAGCCAGAAGATTACAAAAGCACTTTTGTGCTAAACGTATTTTTGTTTTAGTATTTTAGAGATTTATTACCTTA